AACATGCATATTTCATGCATTCTAAATGTCTTCAACACTGCAAATGATGGAAAATTATTGTGGATACTGATTTTCATCATCCATTCATACGAATGAAAGCTATTTATAAACTTTGACAGGGAATTTGAATTGGGAATTTAGAATTATTGTAAATTATTTCAAGTAAAGAAGCATTGATCAGCTTATTGCTAAAGTTTCTTGCTAACTTCAGAAGCAGATAAGATTGACAACCACATTGATTATCTTTTTCACAATTTTTGCGCTTCAGTTATTAGTGCTTTTCATTTGCATAATATAAGAGTTGTTTAAAATTGATTCAAAATTTTCCAAGCTTATAAACTTTTCATCTACAATTTAAGATATAATTTGTATCAAACAAAGTTTTAAACGTATCATTTAGACTATAGCAAATAGCTTGTATGTTTTTCAAATAATGAGATTTATTTTGTAGTAATGAACTGAAAAATTTTTGGAACTGAGAATGCAAATATTAAAATATAATTATAGCATTTCTATTTGCAGGACTAGTAATTTGGTTTATTTTGCATGCAACGACATCTTTAGTAATTATCACTACAGCACTTGATTATTTTGATTTCAGGTATGCAATTTTTTTATTTGTTTTTTTTTATTGGTTTTAAAGTGAAGAATAGATTTTTTTTTCAATATAAACTTTTGTATACTCAGTCAGCTCTACTGAAAACTATTAATTATTAATGGAAAAGCTTATTTAATGAGATAATGCCAAATTAGGAAAGTAATTTGATAATTTAAATTGTTATCTAAAATTTTATATATAGAAATTTTTCAGTTCTTCTGGAAAATACTGCTATAGTTGTATGTCCGAAGGTTTCCAGAAGCACTGGTCGTTTCTTAGTCAGGTATATTTTCTAATTTTGCATTTGACTTATTTTCAACAGTCGACTTGATTTTTTTTTTTAATTTATAAGAAACTTACTGGTATTAATTTGTACATTTCACTTTACTTTTCTTTTTTTGTGCTCAGTCAATTTTGTATATGATTTGAATTTGCTTCACATAACTTGCAGTTAGAACACTGAATGTTAGTTAGTACATTGAGGAGAGTTGCTGTATAAAACAACTTTGCAATCTCAAATTACACTGCTCAAAATAATATTAAAAAATGCATTAATTGCACTTATACATTTTCAAATTTTCATCAAATTGGAACAAGTATTCTGTCACTTTTTATCAAAAAGTTATGTATTAAAAGACAATTCAAAAATTTTTTGTGATTTTGTTATGCTATCTACGATTTATTTTTATATTACGTAAATTTCTGCTATAAAATATTATTTCTCAAAGAATTTTCGTGAAATTAAAAAGTTTTCAAATTAATCAAACATATAAAAAACATGACAGATTGAACTGAATTTTTTAGAAGACTTGAAATTATAAAATAAAAATTTTAATTTTTAGCATACAGAATAATAAATATTTCATTTATATGCAAAATCATGTAGATAGTTTGTAGTCTCTGATTTAAAATATGTGAATTTAAATTTAAAAACGATGAAATGCAAAAAGTAAGAAAAGTAATTTGATAAGAAGAAGTAATATTGTCTACGTATATATGATTTACCTTTATGATAATTATATTTTGATTTTGTTTGTTTGTTTAGCAAAATATTTGGTAGAGTAAGAAGCACATTGTTATTTTATAACGAGGAGAGTTAATAAGTGAAGAGGAGCCTTAAAAAAGCTGCATGAATGAAGAAAGAAGGAATAGAATGGATATTTGATTTTGTTCGGTTTAGTAAATGAGCTTCTTCCGGATGTTAACCGAAATGTGCTACGGAAGACTAAAGCATTAAATCAAATTAAGCGGAAGACTAATTTTGCTCAATTTCACTGTCTTATTTTGTTTGAACAGGAAATACTAGCATATACATTCTAATACTCAAAATGAATAATTTGTAAGTAATCAGTAAAAAATTAAAAATTGGTTAAAATTTTTACAAATAAAAAAGTATTTTTTTAAAATTACTTTAAAATGCATACAAACTTTTTCTATTATTGTATTGAAATAAAGAAACTGATTTTATTTTTGAATTTGTAAAGTATAATTATTTATTTTTGTTTAACACTTAACTACAGTTACGCAACCTTTTTTCATACTTTTCATTTCTGTTAATGCTTTATGCAATGATTCAAAAATTTGAAGCATGTAAATTGAATGGCAACTTTTTGCTAGTAAATGTTAGCATGAGAAAACAAGCTAAAAATAACAAAAATCATGAATAGTGAAGTGAAAAATGTAAATTAACAAATGGAATACTCAAAAGAATTCCCGATGTCAAATGCAGATTATGATAATCTCTATCGTTGATTATAAGCATATTCAAGCACGCATGTAAACACATTCACTCATATACACATAATCAGTAAAAATCAATACTTAAAGTAAAAAAAAATTTAAATGTTTGAATATAATTTGTCAAATTCAGTTAGTCATTATCTTTTCTTCGTTAGCTTATGTTTGCTATAAATAAATTTAGCTAAGCATTTTTGCACACACAAATGGATAAATTGCTTCAAGTCTTGTTTAACATTGTAAACTGTATTTCGTTTTTGCTAATTTATTAGCTCTAATTTTATTTATGATATCTAAAAGCACTCATTGTTTACTGCTAGTTTTTTTACCTCTATATTTGAACCAATACTTCATGCATTATTTAAACTCGTATTAGTGAAAATGCTTGAATTGCAATAACTAGCATAGCAATGTAAATTGTATAACAAGCAGTGTATTTAAAATGTTAAGTAGAGCATACTAATTGAGATTTAGTGAATTTAGTGAGCATCACTGATTGCAAAGTAAGCGATACGCTTTTATTTTCTTATCAACAAATCTTTTCTATATGAAAGACATTTTGGATCATCAACTTTTCTATTTATTAATTAAGTCATTGGATACGGTTTAAGTTTGTTTTCTCTTTCAGCTCTATGCATATGCATTATTTACATAACTTAAGTACTTAAATATAATTCAAGTGATTAATAATCATTCTAAAATGACACGATTATCGTAATTAAGCACTGCGATTAAGACAATTGAATAAACACTTACGAAATGTGATGCATTTTTGTTTTGTTATCTTAGCAATTACTGTAAATAGCACTGTAATAAAAAATTTACTGTTTTGAGTTGTCCGTGTCATTTGTGTTAAAAAGTAATACTTATTTGCAGAGACGAAGATAGATTGATTATATACAAATCATAAGAGTATATATATCATTTTACATATCTTCTAGATTTGCTGTACTAATTCTCGAATTTCATTTATTATATTGTATTATCTTGTGTACTTTATTCATTTTTTCTGAACTATTTTGAACAGAAAATGCTAAATATTAATACTAATTTATTTGACTATCTGAAAAACGAAAGCAAAATTTAGTAGCATTGAAATATAATTTTATTCATAATTGCATTGTTTAGTATTACTCTCTGTCAAGCATCAAAGTAATCTTTTAAGCTTAAATCAATTGAAAGAAAGTCAGAACTTTAAGAACTCTAAAATGATTCACAGCAAGTATTTAAATTCCGAATTCACTGATAACTAACAAAGAATTTTATAGATTTGAAGTGCTCCAATAATGGAAGTAAATGATTGAACTAAAATAGTAATAGCAATGCAATCATTTTAGCTATGAATAATGATTCAGTTATTGAAATTCATGGCTAGAAGACTGAAGTTTGATTTGATTTTATCTACTCAATTTTATATTCAAAAAGAAGTTTGTTGAAGGAAAAAAGTTGCACTGAGTGTTCTATACATCTCATTTGTAAACAGTTTAAGTGAATCAAACTTTTATCATTTATTTCACAGTACTATAGTATTATTTTATAATTTCCTTTTTTGACAAGTAAAAAGAAAATACATTTAAGGTGTGAAAAAAAGTCGAAAATTTTTTGTACCAATTAGAAATGATTTAAATATTATTTATGATTTAACAGATGACATTGTAATAAATTGAAATTTTTAAATCATTAAGACATCAATTTTTTCATTATTAACATATTAATTCAATTTTTACTACGAGACTATTTAGTGCAGAGAAGATCAAAAACATTGATGGAAGATTTGTTTCTAGCAATTTGTTGGATGAACTAATTTTAAACTGTATGTACATACATCATTTTACTATTTTAGCTAAGACTGCAATCGTTCTTGACTTAATTAATTAATCTACCATAATAATCAAAAATTATCGAAAAAAACTGCTCACAAAAAAATGGTCACTAATACTGAAATTTTTTGTGAAATAAAAATAATATAATAAAATATTTGTTTTTTTTTCAGTACTACTTCCAATGTATTAAATAAATAAGTAGTGTCGTTATGACATTATAAAACTTGAAAATAAATGTTTTTAAGGTATGTCATTTTGATTTCTTCGGTGAAAGCAACAAGTATTTTTTTTTCCTAAGCACATTTTCATTTTACAAAGTGGCACTTTTTTATTTCTTATTTTTGCTTACTCATTTATACAATTTAACGACAAAATATCTTTTTTCTTGCACTTATTTAAAAGCATAGAATATTATTTATTATTTGAATATACTTAATGAAAACGACAGTAAACAATTTTGATTAAATTACAAAATTTTAAAGAACGCTTGTAGTTAGAATATTTATTATCTTTATATTATTAGTTTTAGATTTGTCAATACTTGATTACTAATAAATTTCATACTATTTAACTAAAACTATCAAAGTTTTAATTTCATTCTTAGCTCATTCTGCATACTATTTAAGTATTTTCTCTTTTACTACTTATATGCACAGAAATATAAAAGTTTCTCAAGTCAGACACTATCCTTTCTTAGACTAAATAACGATTTTACCAAAATTCTGTTATCAAAAAATTAATTAAATTTTTTTATTTTTGTTAATACGTAAAAAGTCAATTGACTTTAGAAGCTATTTTCATTCATTCTGCAGTATTATTAATAATCGAAACACTTGTATTATATGAATTTTTTAGTGAATACAGAATAAATCAAAATGAAAAACAGGCATTCTTTGTACTAAACTATCTATGTTTTAAGCAGTTAGCACTTAGATCTAAGTATCAGAATCATTTTGTTCTTATACTTTTTAGCATTTTGCAAATAAAACTTTGTTGAATAATAATTTTAAGATTTACTTCATGCCGATGAATTTTACGGATCACTGCAACGATATGCCACCAGAAATCCATATAGGTGTTACTTCGTGCAGTCATTCTCTATGTGTGACAGTTGTTGAGCCTCGCATTTTAGCAGGTCTGTTTCACTTTTACCTTAAAAATAATTTTGCTATGATAAGTTTAGATTTTTAAATTTTTAACAGAAAATTTAAAGGCTAAACAAGCAGTTACAAGGGACAGTGTTTCGATTATTAATAACACTGCAGGACATCATATAGGAAACAATGTCATCCGTGGATGCTTTTCTTCTGTGTTTAAATATGCTCACGCACCTTCTACCAAAGATTCTCCTATTTCAGGTTATTCTTTTTTTTCAATATTTTACTTTTCAACAATTTTCTGAAGTCTTCTAAGTAATCAAGAAAAAATAGTACATAAAATAACTCATGCAGAAACTGAATTATAAGCGTATTTATCTGATTAGTTTTGTATATTCAAAAGTAATGACTTGTATGTAACTTTAAAACTTACTTTTGATATTTTAAACTTCAACACATTTTGTTACAAATTCGATTCTGCTAATTGCCTGTATTGTCAATACTTTCTTTACCATTGAATTATTGTATATTTTTTGTCAATTAATTATTTTCGAAGGCATAAAATAAGTTTTTATTATTTTTGCTTGAAAATAAGTACAACAATGAGAAAAAATGTTACAGTAATTAGCAAAAATTGAATTTATAATGCAGTAGACAAAGTGTGAAACAAAAAAAAAATTCAGTCATTTCTTCATTTACAAAGAATTATTTAGATACGTTATGTAGCAGAATGCCAGCGTACAAGTTATTACCACCACATTTAGCTAAACGTGCTTCGAATCGAACTGTTGAGTTATGCTGGTGTATCGGACAATTATGCAATGATTACCCCTCAGCTGAATCAAGAACCAACATGTTGCTACCGATTTCTCTGCCATACTATTTTTTGTTGTCATATGTAATGCTGTTTTTGAATTATAAATTTTCAGCTAATTAATCAGATATTATTAATTAGCTGAAAATTACTAATGTTACTACATTTTGACAAGTAAGAAAAGTTTTTTTTTCTTATTATGATTAAACTTTTCAATATAAATGTAAGATGATTGTGTTAAAACTGCGTTATTGATGAAGTTAGATGCAAGTTTTCTGAATCTCTTATATTAATGTTGAGAAGAATAATACTAATTATTTAATGCCAATTTTTCTGTACTTCTTTTTGTCTCAAAAAAAAAATTGATAGCGAAAAATTGTAGATGATGTTTTTGATTTATCTCCTTGTGGGTTCGTTATTCAAAATCATGGATGATGACTACAATTTGAATCCAGAATTAGGTGCCTTTGTTCTAGTTGGCATTTCATTTCTTGATCAATCAAGTCATGTTCTCAAACTTTATGAAATTAATAGATAAATAAAATATATAATCTGATTTGTCAATAGATTAATAGAAATTAAAATTTTTGGCATGCCATCTAATTTTTGTATTAAAATTTGTAAATCGAAATATTTTTTTTAAGTCTTTAGAAGCAATAAATTAGAAAAAATATTCATTAAAATAAATTCATTATAACAAATATTATTTTTTCTTAATATTGAAATTTAAATAATTGTTTCGAAAAGAATGTAAGAATGAATATATTAACATAATATGAATAAAATTAAAACTATATTTAACTCGCATTTGTAAACAGATCTATATTTATATGAGAAAACATGGGAATATGAAAATATGACTTGAGCAAAAAACTGATCCAACATTATATAATATTAAAACGGAAAATTAAAAGAATTGACTTTTTTCAACACGTAACGTTTGAACTTAAATATATAAATATTTAAACTTTGTTTTTCAACATTTTAAACCATAAATTAGATATGGGGATTCAAAATATCTGTTATTAAAGTTGAATATTTTGAGATTGCTGCATCTCTTTTGATAGCTTTAATGCATTTATTACACACTTCCCTGCTCTATGATGCCTCTATTTCAGTAACTTTTACAATGTTACTAAGCATGTAATATGAATTGGTTGCAATTCGCGACTCTTTCCTTTTATTTATCAAAATTTCCGTGCTTAAAGCTAGTCAAATTTAGATTTAGTTAAGTACTTTACTAAAACATTTATCGATAAATTGAAATTGCAAATTAAGCATTAGTTTATTACTGTTTAAGTGTAATTAAATGCACCAATTAATTTCATTTGAAATTGAATACTCAATTTGTTATTAAACACAAAGCATACTTGTAGCTAAAATTTTTGAATAAAATTTGCAATTGATTCATTTTGTAAATAAAATGTATTACATTGTTCATCACCATTTTAATCTGTGAGAAATTCAAAAATGAAAAATTTTGAAGTAGATTTTTTATAAAGCAGTGATTAATTGATACATTAAATAAATGACTCTACACTGCTAATCACGTTGTTTATTAGAAATTAATAAATAATAAAGTTTTGCTCTGAATTTGAAGCATGATACAAACAAGAAAATAAAAAAATATGATAATCATGTTTTTTAGGAATTTTTAATACAAAAAATTTGGCAGGTATTACTTGATTTGAGTAATTATTAATGCATTTGAAAATTTTATGATTAGTTAAAAATATTTTATGCAAGAACTTTGCCTGATTTTTCATCAAATGATAAAACATTTCAGAAAATAGCTAATTTGGATAAAGTGGTCGAAACAATTAAGCAAGCTGGCAAATCCAACTTTTATTTCCAAAAAGTGTTGTTTTGCAATTTTAATCATGTTTTAATTTTAGAATGATCAAGCATTGGCAGAATGTTTGCTTTATTGAATAATTTATTAAATGAAGTTTCTGTCTCCATTTAAAAATAATAACGTTTATATTCATATGGTATTTCATACATGAACAAAAATCATGTAAATATTGCATACATAAAACATGAAAATAATACCGTCACTAATTAATTTTAATTATCAATTGATAAAATTATAAATGCAAAAAAAGATCATTTTGTAGGCGTTGATTTCGATGTTGCATTATGTATTGATTTCAACTTTTCCAACCATTCCTGTAATAATTTACTTTCAGTATGCAAATTTAAAACTTTTTAAACACAAATAAATTTTTAGATACAAAAATTGTTTAGTTACAAAAATATTTTCTTTAATTTTTGCATTATATTTTAATATAATATTTAAAGTATGAAGCACCTGAAAATAGTGAAGCGAGTAAAAACAAGTCAAATGAGCTAAAAGACCTGCGTAAGTTGATTTGTTAAATTTATGATGGTACAGCAGATAGCATTATTATGTACGGTTACATGATCACTATTTGTTGTTTTGTACAAAGTTGGTTCTCGTCTGGTTTTTTCATATCCGAGAAATTCACGATATCGTCGCACTTCCTACAAAATTTTACCTCATTGAGTCTCATTCGACAAGATTAAGCTTAAAATATTTTTTATTAAAAAAAGTACTTAGTTACGTAAATGTATTTTGCATGAAAATTTTCTTCCTAACAATGAATAATGTCATTTAATTAATGAAATTCAAAAAGATCTCAAATTACATTAATCATTTTTTTATTTACAATACTTTTAATACTACTCAATTATTTGAGAGAAATCACCAACGTCATTGAGATCATCCAGTCTTCTGCAAATCTGTTCTAAGCTTTTTCGACAGTTTTCACATTCCTGAAACAATGTTTGATAGAAATGATTTTAGAAGGAATCATTACTTTATTTATAGAAACATAAAAATAAAACAAAAATTCTGCTCATGTACAATCAAATTTTTCATAAAATTCAAATTTTTATTTATTTTATTTAAATTACTGAAGTATAGATGTTTGATTTTTACACAGTGCTGCTTAGAAGAATTTGATGATTATCACTAAATACAGAAAACTAAAACGCTTTTTTTCTAAATTTTTTTGACATCTATTAAATCTCAAATATTGAGCTACCAAGTACAAACTAATTTTTGTCAAAAATCATTAGTTTATCAAGTTGAAATAGTTGAAATTTACTCAATTACCAACGCGTAAGCAATGATGAATTTTAGCTAATTGAATAAGCAGCAAAAAAAGTATTTCAAGATTTTATTGGATTATTTTCAGTGTAAATGCTTGAAAATTTTTAAAAAATGCAAAATTAAAAAGTTGATTAATTTTTTTACATCATCATGCCATATTTGAGTTGTTTGTTGAACTATTTTTTAAATGCGCGCGAAATTTTAAAAATATAGTTAAGAAATGAATGAAAGATAGAAACTGGATTTTGCAATAAGATTTTTAGCATTTTCAAATTCAAAATATTGATGAAATTTTTTTTCTTAAAACAAATTACTAGTAATAATTAAGGAATTAGCACGCATCTGGGGAAGCAAGTGATATCACATTTAACATAATTCTTATTCAAAAGTTGGAATGCATTTTTTTTTATTTGACATTCTACAATTACTTTTATGAAATACAACTTTTTTTAGTTAAAAAATTTTTTTATTCATTTTATATTCATAATAACTACTTTTTTAAAATGAGGATCATTAAATTCATTACTTTGCCAATATGAGACGAAATGACACCCAGCAACTATCTCAAATGATGTCAAAGTTTTTGATAAACTGATGAGCTAATTTAATACTTTCAAAAACAAGATTGAATAATTAATAAAGTTTAATGATAGGAAGTAAAACAACTACCCAATAAAACGACTACCCAGTAAAATGACTATCCAGTTTAATGATAACAGAAATAAATTCAAATAAATCATAGAATACCATGAATTTGATCAAGTACTACTTGCAGTATTATAATTCATGCACGAAATAACTTTATTGAATTAATTTATTTCAGATAAATCAGTAATAAGCGATATTCACATCAATCAGAGTTGAAGAAAAACTGGTAAATGCACCTTTCTTTGCTAGCAAGAAAATATTGAAATTCATTTTAGCACAATGCTTTAAATATTAATTATTTTCTTTATTTAGCAGTTTGTTTTTTAGTTAAGAGTAAATGTACAAAAAAGATTACATCCCTCTTGCAAAGGTCTTATGCCTCTGCAGCTTTTATTTGTTCACTCCTACATTTCTTTATTTTTTGCATTATTTTGTATTCAACTGAATGGCAGAAGAAATATGTTAAAAAATTTGATTAAAATACTAATTTTTTTTTGCTTAAAAATGTTGCCAAAAACTACACAACTTGTCTGAATAAATAATGCAAATTATTACTTTCATGCATTAAAAACTTAAAGCAAGAAAGTAAAAACTTATTCATTTGCTACTCAATTTTATTGCTAGTTAATTTTGAACTAAAAAATTTTAAAAGATTAACAAATTCTTTTGTTTAAAAATAAAGCATTTACAACTGCAACATTTTTCAAATTGTAAATTTCTTTTTCAACTATAGATAGTTTTGAATAATTACGGTAATAGCATGAAATTTGCTCATATATAAAATATTTAATGGTTAAGCAAATTTTTACAAAACAACAAAATAATCAGAACATCAAAAATATTATTCAGATTAAAAAATGAATAGGCATTATAATTTATATTCATAGTAAATTTTTCTTTCAAACAAGCAGTCAAATATTAAATGAAGCATAAAGAATTTTTGAATGAGTAAAAAACAAAATAGCATAAATACCTTAAGAACTTTATCAACATTCCGGATTTGATCTTCAATTGTTACAGAAGTACTACCATTAGTATTCGCAATAATATTAGGATCAATCATACTGAGCAGTGCCAGTGAGAAGGATTAGTAAAGTAGTCGCTGTAGACTTACTTGGCTCTTGTCTTTGCTATTTCTAAGCCACAGTTGAAGACAAGGCACTACGATGCACCGCCCTATCATTTGGTCAATATAAACACATTGAAGCTAAAAGGAAATAAAGATCATTGCTATTATTTGATTTTTATCAAGTAATTAGTATTAGTAATTGTTTACTTGCATTGTTATGCTTTCTTTTAAGTAATTGCTTAATTTTTACTCAAATACAATACATCATAGTACAGTGTAAATGCAATACAAAATACAAATAAACAAAAAATATTTTAAAATTTTATTACTTTTAATTCAAAAAAAGTTTGAGTGCTTATTAAGTACTTATGTTGCTATTATTTTCAAACTTAATCACTTAATTATTCTTCAATTATATAGAAAGTATTTTATTCAATTTAAAGAAACTAATTTGATTACATTTCAGAAAAATTTAATTCATACTTGCAAACTAGCATAGCACTTCAAATAACTTGAAAAAAGCTAAATCAATTTTACTAAATATTACTTTTAAAAATTTGTTTACTCTATCAAATACCTTTTGTAAAATAAAGTTAATGCATCATAATAATGCACACATACGTATTCTAAACTTGCACAATATCCATTAGATGGGATTTGATTCTTTGCCATTATAGTTTTGCAAATTTAGCTCTGTACTTATTTTAGTAAAGAAATTGCTTTGAGGCATACATACAGCAATCAAATTTTTCATCTCTTTTCTAATTTAACGAGGTGCATTGAAGTGGAATTTTACTCAAAAAAGTGACTAATAAGGAATAAAAAAGAAATAAATGTGACCTTTGTTAATTAAGTAGCAAAATAATTTTAAGTGATAACCATAAGTTTATTAGCAAATAATTTTTATTTTTGCTTAATATATTTACTACATAAATACTGTATTCACACTTTTACATTTACATAAAAATATTATCACTTAAGCTTCTCATCTAATAATTATTCAATGTTTGTGTTTTGTTTATTTGTCACTATTCAGGTTTATTCATAACTGAAAGATAGAAAACAATTCTGTGAGCACTTTTGATTAAAAGTGTTATTTATTCTTTTTTATCTCATAATAACTATAATTAATATTCTTTCTTTTTAATAAATTTCAATATTTTCCAATGCTTACAAATTATGCTGATCACTTGCAAGCAATTTTAGTTAAAAACTTCATTTGAGGAAGCAGTATTATAATTTCTTAGAATTTACAGTAATTTTGAATTACTAATTATTCTTCAAATTTTTCATTAATTCACTGAAAATGACATTATATACATATGATGATGATGCTAGAGTAATGCCAATTTCTTGCTTATAACCATAACAGTAAGTACTAAATTTTCAGCTTTCATATTCTGCATATCTTTTGCTATTTTGCTCTAAAATATACTCTTCAATATATTAATTTAAATAAGTGATAAAGGCAATATCTCATTTATTGTTATCACTTTTTTGTTATTATTACTTCTTTCTGCAGACATATATTTATTTATCAAAAACTTTTACTATGCCACTGTAATTTCAAAAAATGATAGGCTTATATGTGCTATTTATTTAGCTTTGCTATTTCCAATTTAATTAAAAAGCAAATGGAAAAGTACTAAACAAAATCTTCAAGTTTAAAGCCAATTTATAATTACAGCGCGATGAAAAAATCGAAGAGCACAATGCATTTTTTTATCATCAAAAAATTTAAAAAAAAATGTCTTTTCCCGATATCTTATACTTTTTCATGAAATTTAATAGAGTCAATAAATATAATATCCATTGACAAAAAGCACTTAAATAACGCAGCTTTAATCCCACAAAATATTGTATACGAAATTTTTTCAGTTATAAAATTTCTAGGATTAAATTTACTGTTATAAATTAATTGAATAATTACTACAAAATGTCATAGAAATAAGTGTGTGTAAAGCAACTCAAATTTATAAATAAAAATATAAAAAATTTAGCAATGATTAGCTGATTTGCACTCAGAAAAATTATTACTGAAGAAGACTTAAAAGAGTTAAATAACAATAATAAAACTACTTTGTAGAGAGCTTTATCAGACAACTATTGATGAGATTATGAGAAGAATGAAAAAATTGGTCGCTTAGCTGAAATTGGGTCTTGAAAAATCTTTTGTTGATTTAAATAAATACATAAATAAAATTAACAAAAAAACTAATTTTTTTCACTCACATCAATTAATACTGATTAATTGTTTTTGACAATAAATAATTGAATATCCACTTTTCATATGAACAAAAATACATATTCATTAATTTTTATCAGTATTAAAATTTTTAATCACATCTAAAAATTTGAAAACTATAAAATAGTTTAGTAACTCTGTTACAATAATTTTAAACTTTGGCTTTCAATCATCTGTATGCGTTCCATGAAAAAAAAAGAATCCTGGCCAACGGGATGTGTCGATTTATACGATTTTATTATAAAAAATCAATAAGCAAAAAAATTTTATAAAATAAAAAAAATTATAATGCTAATTGAGTATTTTTAATTTTCACTCATTATTGATAACAAAAAATGAAAGTACAAGCAAGAAAAGAGCGCATAGAAAGAATTTAATTTGCTTTTTGTTAAAAATTTTTGTAACAAAATTTTGCTCTCACATAAGCCTTAAATATATGTAGCAAACTGTACATAATTTCTAACTCACTAAACCATCTTATGTGGTACTTTTCTAGACTTTTTAGTTTTCTTAATCAAAGAACTATTATTTACAACAAGGCATTTTCTTCAAGAATGCCTAAAATGAACTCAGTAATTGCACTCTGACAGATTCAAATTATATAACCATACTGATAAAGCATTATCAAATTTTAAAAATATTTATCGAAATTTCAACGTATCAACAAAATGTAATTGTAGTTTTTTAGAACGACTGGCTGCTCATATTTGAACTTTTTTCGAGTTTCAACGTTAAAGATTCTGAAATATGACTACAAAGTTGTATGATAAATTAAGCAAAGCAAAAACTAACTCTTTCTGCAAACATATTAATTATTCATTTGTAAGCATACAAAAACATAATACTTGTCTTTGTAATTTGAATTTGAATTTTTTCTTCAGTAACCTACAACATCGCTTTTATTTTCAATTTTTTGTTCCACAAATTATTGCATATAATTAGTCATTTACTTTTTTAACTATTTCTTATGAATTATTTACATATAAGTTTCGTCTAGTTTTTTAGATAACTTTTGTAACTCGAAAGATGAGATGCATACAAAAGTCACCTAAATTAAAATAAAGTTCAATTTCAAGTTAAACCGATAGAAAGATAAATTTAGTAAATAAATTAGGTCAAATCATTGCTTGAAATACTGAAATAGGTCATGGCAAAAAAATGTTAATTTAATGTTAAATTTTTCTCAGTGAAAGAAAAAAAACTACTCAGGCGCTTTCAAGAAACCTTAAATGAAAGTGAAAAATTCAGTAATCTTAATCGTCTTTAGAAAAACTGAAAGCAGTAATTTCGTTTTAAGCCTGCAAAATCACTGCTTTTTAATTTTTTACTTTAGCTTTTTTCATATGATCCTCTACGGTTTTTATTATTTATTTTTCTACTATTTATAGAATATTCACAATAATTTAAAAGCTTGACATTATTCTCTTTTAAATTGTTCCATTACTAATTCAAAAAACTGATTTACAAATTTTTGAAAAAGTTTTGGTTTTCATAAGAACTGATACACATGCTTGTAGTAGCAGAGATAGTCGTGCTAATTTCGTTCTAGCGCTTTAAGACAGCTTAATTAATTACCACATTTATTTTTCAATCCTGGGACCATACCTCGTAGTCAACATGTAAAAATTTTTAAAAACAATTGAAGGCACTTGTATTTTTTGCTTTTTCTCAAGTTATCTGTTAAATAAATTTTAGCACTAATTTTTTACTTTTTCTTCAATTTAAACTTCTCATTTTTTACATTAATATGAAAATTTGAATTTGCAATTGACTGATATGTTCAGTTGAAATTTGAAAATTTTTTGCTATTTAGTGAAATTTTAACTAAATTTGTTAGAATAGCAATAAAATTGACGTAAAACAAAAAAATTCTGCACTGTAGAAGTAATCACAAAGTTATATTTGTAAAATCAGATGTGTTATCTCTGTAAAATCAATGCTTGATTTCGTGATCGCTGGTATTTTTCATACCGTGCATCGTTTGGTTGATATGGCCCCATACGAAATTCACCATTCCATTTCAATAGTGTCCGGGTGTACCTAAAATTATTATTTCACTTCTCTAATTTAAAATTTCTCAATGTTGATAACTCAAGTGAAATTGTGTATGCTGAATTACATCTGAGGCCATAGTTTTGATACGATTTAAATTGTGTGTATTTTTCACACTGCTCATTTATTTAATGTCTTTTTACAAGTATAATCATAAATTCGTACTTACTTTTTCTTCTCTCTTTACATTATGAAAAATAAATTAATCCTTTAAAACGACATTGACCTAAAAAAAACAAATTTAAAAGTAGTGCTTAACTATACTAAAGATACAGAAGCAACCAATTCGAAAGAGACTTAATTAGTTACCATGCGGGCCAATCTTGTGGTGCATATCGGCCAACTGTACCGGTTATTATTTTGGTCCCTGAATGAGGCCTAGCGTACTGCTTTAGAGATTCATCGTAGATATATGTTTGTCGTTTGAAACGCAAGATCTCCGCGGTTATTATATCGATAAGACATAAATAACCTAGAATAGGAAACTTGTCACTAATTAGCACGATCTTTGTTTTTTGATTTGTAGTAGAAGTGAACTTTCTTGAGAATATTTGGAAATCACTGAAACTTGAAAATGATTTGATAATAGAACTAGTTTTTGATTAAACTGCTGCGAAATGAGCAGAACAAAAATTCGAATGATCTCTTCTCAATGTGCATATCAATCAATCTACACAGAAATATATAGATATATTGTATATATGCATGCATAGACAATTGTAAATTTGTGATAACAAGTGATTAAATGTTAATTCGTGAATGTTCTCGAGCACGAATATGCACTCCCATTGTTTTCACTATCATAAATGTACATATAAAATATAATAGACTTTTGATCATTTATTCTTAATATTAGAAGTGAAAAAGAGAATATGTCATCAAAATTTGTCACAAAAATAAGTCACTTTTACTTCGCAATATCACTAATTTATTTTCATTTCCATACATTTATTCGCAAGGAATCAAAGGAATCGCTAAATAACCAATGCTTCAGATTTCAATTAACAGCCTTTTTTTAAGAAGTTATTGCTGAAAAACTTCAAAAATATGTTATTGAAAAAATGTTGAAAAATATTTGAAAACTTTAATAAATACAAACCTTTTATTCAAATGATCAACCGCGTTAAATTTAGAATGCATAATTTCAGAGAACAAAAGTAGAAAACATAAATAAAATGATAGATTAATTTATCAAGTATTAGTACTAATAATATGATAAAAATTGCCAAATGTAATTGATATTTTTTTCTTGAAAATATTTGAAAATCGTTGAAACTTTTTTTTTAATTTAAAAATTTCGTTCAAATAATAAAGAAAATAAAAATTTAGTTAATAAGAAATGAAATCTTTTGTTGGTCAAGAAAATTTTAAAAATTGAAACGTATACAAAAATTTTACTACCGAAATAACTTTTAATACTTATATTGCTTAAAAGAATTTTAAAAAAAGTTATTTCTCTACAATACTTCAAATAATTAATATAAACTACTACAGAAATTTCAATCAGTTTTGAAAGCATGATCAGTATGTCTTATTAAAGCAGAAATTAGTCACCTAATAATTTTTAAATATATTGACTGAGAAATTAAGTACTAGTTTGGTTTAAGATGAAAACACCGTAAATAATAACTACAAGCAAAAATTATCCATCATATAATATGCAAATTACATCAAATTCAACTATATGATTTCAGTGAAATTATTTTAAAAAGTAAAAATGATAAAATTTTCGAAATTTGCTATTTTTAAAAATGAAAATAAAACAAATTTTAATAATAAAGCAGCAATTATTCAAAAAAATAAAAATAAAATAGCTTACCCAAAATAAGAAGCATAGCAATAGTGTGCGATCGGTTTGAAGGCATAATATAATGACAATCTGTTAAATGGTGCCCGCGGGTTGAAAAGTTTCGAATGGGTTTTCTTCCTTCTTCGCACAATTCAACTCTGTTCTACTTGAAGGTTTGTGTGTCAAAATCAGAGTCTTCCACCCTTCCAATTTTTTCTTTTTTTGTTTCTTTTCCAAATTATAAGATGAATGCAAAATATTAGCTTTTGCTATTCACATTTGCTTACGATAAGCAAGAAAGTAAAGTAAAAAGTTGAAGTAAAAAGAGAACAAATAAAAATTACACACAAACAATTGATAAGAAATGGCAATTTTGTACAGAAATATGCAAAAATATACTTTTAAAGCTTTGTGAATGATAACATATTAAAAGAGAAAATTGTAAGGATATTTCATGCAAAAAAAACAAATTTAATTACTACAGTATCTCATTAATTTCATAATGTTACTTAATCAAATAACTTGTGAATCAAAAATGAATTAAACTGTTCGAAAAGTATACTAATTTATCTATTAAATCCTTCAAATTCACTTAGTTCAAATAATAGTTAGCTAAAAAAAATTAATTTTCTCAAATTTTGTAGTTCGTCAGATCTGTTATTATTATATCTGCAACTTACTGATGTAATTTTTGGCATAAAAAATTTTCAGTATTGTTAAAAGTAGTAAGTTGAAATGAAATAAGTAATTGCCTCCTCCATGTAATTAATGAATAAAGTTGATTTCCCTCTCTCATTTTTATCTAAAAAATTAATGAATTACTAAAATTAAAGGGTAAGCATCAGACAAAGACAGCTTTGTATTTTCAAAACTGTCAAAATTGGCAGTTTTGTTCTTATGCGATTGATATTTCTTTGTAGCAGGTATGAAAAAAATTCCATTTTTGCATTTGTGAAATTAAAGGTAATGGCTATCCAGTCACTTTTTTCTTGCAAACTGATTAATCTTATAAATATCATTGATATTTGTGGGCTCGTCTGTACTCATTTATTTAAATGCATTTTCACCATATGTGATTCATTCATTATTAGTTAGTTAATCTAATGGTACTAGTCATTTCTCTTACAGAAATTAGTTTAAAAAAATAAATTTGTGATATACTGATAGAACTGAAGTCTTTAATACTATTAAACAACTGGCTTTATAGAAGGTGTTAAAAGATGGTAGCTTTTGGTATTAATTTTTTAATACACTATGATGCAAATTAACTTTTCATTAATACGTTGAACTTGTAAATAATTTGACAAAAAAGATCCATTTTTTGATTCAAATAACAAAAAACAAAGTCATCTACTAAAACTAATGCAAATTCAAAAAAGGCGAAATCAAAAAAAGAAAAAAAAACTAAAAGTTTAGAAATTTGAAGTAGTCTAATAATTTGGCTGCGTGAAACAATGAAATACGTACGTCTTTTTTTCTACTACTAAACACCTTCATTTCTCATCTATTTTCTTCTTTATCTATCACTTTTACATTTCTCTCTTCTTGAAGTAATGGCTCATTTCCATTCTATCCTACAAAAAAGCACAAAAATTTATGCAAATGATACTGTTCTTCCCATATGAATGTTGCAGTTTTGTCAAACAAAGCTTATTTTGGTATCAACAAAGCATATTTTGGCATGCCATGTTTTTGCAATGAAAACTGACCAGAAGCATAATCTCATAAAAAGCATTAATTTTTTGATATTATCTTGTTTCCCGTATGCAAATTTTTTAAAATTTATTTTGTGCCTTCTTGATCTTTCAGATACATTAACAAGTTAGATTGAATAATCTTATTAGTACTAACTGAGTTCATAAATAAGAGTATTATTTCTTAAATTTATTTCTTAATTTATTAAATAGATAATGCGAAAAATACGGAGAAACCCTAAAAATATAAAGTTTATTTTTTATCAAGGAATATAAGTATTAATTGTAGTTAACCTCTTATGTTATTTTATTTGATTGGAAACTATTTTTATAATGTGCTATCAGTTATTCAGATGTTTTCATTACCTTACTGAAAAATTTTTAACTCCTCATTTTTAGAATACGGTAGCACTTAATTCATGAATACGAAAGTATACTTGCCACTTGTGCAATCATTTATATAACTGATATGTAGTTAGCTAACTGCTTATTATAATCGTCATAAATGGTGGAAAGTTAGTGCACAACACGGAATTCACGCTATGTAGTAATTTTCCGTCGTCTTTATCAAATTTCAGTTCAATCTTTTATTCTTACTGCAGATGAAAAAATATGAGAAGACTCTTCGTTTGCTTCTTATTACTATTTTTTATTTGTTAGTATTAGTAGAATGTTATTGGACTCGATGCTCGCGTGCAATCAGCACCTCAGTAGTAGACTGTTCTGGACGAAATTTTGATGTTAGTCTTTTCTCTGAAGTGTAAATCAAAAATTTTGAAAAAAAAAAACTGGGAAAATTTTGGTACCATTTAAAATTCTGATGTTAGTCATATTTGTAAAGTAATTCTTTCATTATTGTAGTTATAAGTGGGTATCAATGAGTTTAAAAAAATGCTAAATCGAAAGCAAGACTGCTCAAATTGGACTGCACAATACATTTATGACTTGAATCTTCAATTAAATTTTAGAAAATTGTTCAAATTGCAAGACTAAATGCGCCTGAATCCGAATTTTGTCCAAGCACTATTGGTGGTCATGTACGCCTCTTAAATTTGAGTTGGAATGGTTTCAAATCAATGAACTTCAGTTCATTCTCGTCGTTAAGGCATCCAGAATTTCTTGAAATACTGTAAGTCTGAATTTTAATGAAATATAAATTGCTTACAACATTATTTTTGGAGCCAAAAAAAAAAAAACTTTTTCAGAGATATTTCTCATAATAAACTACTGTTCATATCTCCAGGAGCTTTCAAAGCGTTATCACGACTTAAAATCCTGTAAGTTTAGATTTCTCCTTTACTTGAATTTCAAAATAAATTTTTTAGCCTTCATGAGTTTACACTTCATTTCGTCATCTGGAAAAGCGTTCTAATGTCTTTCAAATTTATTCTATAAATTTTAAAATTGTATTCTTTTGATATTTTTTATTGGAATACGATATATAATGGGGAAAATAATATTACGGAAAAGTTGATTAATATATTTTAGCTTGTTAAATGGTAATGAGTTACACGCATTGGATCATTTGTCATTTGCTGACTTGACATCCTTAGAGGAATTAAACTTGGATTCAAATCCGCTCTCATCGTTTCCAGATCGAACCTTTACATCACTTACCAAACTTCGTAGATTGAGTATTGCATCAAATCAATTATCATGTGACTGCCAAATAGCTGACTTGCTTCGTTTTATTAATAAGGTTATCGAAAACAATTTGCTGCACAACTTCATTTTAAAATTCGATTTACAACATTCAGCTAAAGTTTGGAAATATTTTTGAGTATTATTTTAAATTTTTATTATATTACATATGTTAGTGAATAGCGATTCGATTTCAGGATGAGCACGTACAAGTGTCAAATAGAACAGTATGCATATTTCCATATTCACTGCGTGGAACGCAAATTGTATATCTGAATGTGAAGATATTAAAAAGAAGTTGTGGAAAAGGTAAAATTTCAGTCTAATCTTTACTCAAATCTCAAGAAGTAAAGTGTATGCCTATGAGATGGAAAATTTAGGCGACTTCAATCCAGCTGTCTTCAACTTGGAACCTCCTTCACGTTCGTTAATCATCTATCCTGGCGGGGAAAAAAATATAACTTGTAAAATATCAAAAGCTGACAAAGTACACATGGAATGGTTGAAAAATAATGTTCCTGTGATTGATTCTCCACGATTACTCATATCACGTCACAATGATAGTCACTTTTTGTACGTTATATTAATTTATAATAAAAAACCAAGTTACCTCAAACTTAGAAATATTTCCAATTTTGATATTTAAAATGCTTCCTTTTTTTTAAAAAATTGAAGTATATAAAAAAGATTGTATATATCCTTACAGTTTCGTCCTTGTTTTTTCTCTTGAAAACTGATTTTCTTTCCAAAAATGAACAATAGATCATTTCGACATCATCAAAAAAAATCAGGCTATTAATTATTTTGGTCAGTTTGCAAAGGATTACCAATATATCATTGGGAATGTCAAAAAATATTTGTAATGCGAAACTACGAATTTTTAAAAAAGTGCGTGATTTTTCATGCATAATTATGGAAATATACAAATTTGTTTAATTCCGTGAAAGGAAATTATTTCCAAAATTTCAGATATCTGGAGCTTTATATAAATCCTATCGTTTGGAAAGATGAAGGAGATTGGACTTGTTACGTGGAGCACGGCAAATCAGTGTTAAGAAATACAGTGCGTATAACACCTATTTTGGTAAATACACTACAATGTGTTCAGGTGTGTTTGTATATTTATAGTTTTTGTAACTTTTATATCATAAATTGTCTACTTTTATCATACTTAGGAATGGCAAGCGGATGAAAAAGGTGAAATAATTTGGCCAGTTTCCAAGCAAGGATTAGTTGCTATCAAATGTCCTAACGGTCCAGTGAATGCCAAAGCATATAGACAATGCAAGCATGGTAAATGGGATCCAGCAGATACCAGCCATTGCACCTATGCCTCCCAGTTAATTAAACACTTGTTAACTCTTTTGCAGCACGGATACACTTCTTCGGTTTATCATTTACTACTTACTTTCAAATAACTGCTGTGTACCATTTTCTAATGCATAAAATTTCAGTCAACATAATTTCTTACTTTTTGCCATAAATACAAATTAAAATTAAAAAAACTATTAGAAATAGCAGTAAGTATGAGCATTTTCATTTTACAGTATATTGATGAATTACTTCGAATAAGAAAACAGCCTGCTGAAATGTCTGCTTATGAAACTCGCCTTGTTGGTTGGCTTATCGGTAATGCAACCGGTTTATCCAACCAACAAACCGTAACAGCGCTAAATTTTGCTTTACAGTCTGAATTCGCTCGCACTGAACTCAATGGTAATAATTTTGTAGTATTTCTATTAAATTAATGATGTTGCAAATTAGAAATGACTGAAAAACTGAACCTTTCAGTTTCACTTCAGGAAATTGCTAGACTGGATTGTATACTTTTATCATACTCAGAAATAGCAAGCAGATGAATAGTGCGTTAATTTATAAAATCACTTTTTCTCTGCTATATTTTTAACATTTTTTACGCTGAAACAAAAAATGAAAGCTGAAGTTCAGTTTATGTAAACATACATCAAAACACTGATGCCGTGAATATTTATTTCAAATATGAGAAGTGAATATGTGATTAATACATTTAATTTTATTATACGATAAATATCATTTTATTTCATGGCAATATAAGGGTAACTAAGTTTTTATTACTGACCGACTAATTAATCTGAATTTTGCTCAAAACAATAGGTAGCATATACGGTACTTCATGACTGCAAAAGAAATCATGGGAAAAGATAACTGTCATGAATTTTATTTCAAATCAAAAGAAATACTATTGTTCTTAAGAATAATTTTTTTGTGTACTGTCATGAAACTTATCCACCCATTTTTTTGTTAAAGTTATTCTCGTATTGTTCAAAATGGTAGTAGACAAAAATTATGTTTATTTTTGATAAGTGCATGAGCAAAACTAAGATTATATAAGATGGGAATTCTCAAATTAAGAAATTTAGGTACATAAGCACAATAAATGGGTAAAACTTCCAATAATATTGAAAGCTAAGATTCTTGTCTTTGCATTAAAATTTCTCATAAAGTCCTATTCTAATTTTTCCGAGTTACTTTCAAGGTTGTAGAATTATTTGATACTTGAAATAGTGCAAAAGATGAATTGCAATTACTGCCAAAAATGAAAGCAAAGTTCAAATTTATAATGGTGTAAAGCTTTGGACTCGTTAATAAGTAGCAAAGGATTCAGAGGATTTATGAAGAGCATTTTAACAATGATTTATCTTAATAATAAGCTATTTAGAATTTAAAGTAAATTCAATTTTTAGCCTTTATTGACGAGTAACTTCATTCAAACGAGTAACTAGAAAAACATCAAAATTCTCTTGCTGTTCTCTCATACACACAGAAATTACCACAGAAGCAAAGCAAATAATTCATTCTGCCCATGCCTTATTTCAATTTAGCTCGTAGTACCAGTGATATTAATGTGACCAATTTTTTTCTACATATCTTACTATTTTTCACAATGACATCAAATTTAAATTAAATATCAGCGTTTGATAATTTCGCTTGCCAAAATTATGCTATTTGTGTAAGCATCAGTAATAAAAGTGTACTATCGAGAAATAATGCAATTTTGTCGAAAGAAAAAAGCACACTAAATGATAAGCAAAACGCTTTCGCTTGATGTCAAAAAATGAATTAAATAAATTCTAAACAATTATGTGAAAATTTTGAGTGTTTGAAAGAAAACTGCATTTTCAACAGACTATTTCCTCACTTGGGAAAGAATCTAAAAGATTGTTTTTCTCTGACTGCCATTATCATCTAGTTAATTTGTTAATGATAATATAAATTCACAAGCATTCAAGAGTTGAAAATATTAAAGTTTGAGTAAAAATTGTTTAATTAAAATTATCAAAATGAAAGATTTTAGGGGAACAAATGCGTCAGCATCTGCAGAATTTACTTCTTGGGGATCAAATTATTCAAGAAAATTACATAGCTGTATGTCAGCATTTGTTGCTCACCAAAAATTATGATATTACTGGTATACAAGCAGTAAAAAATGGATTTTTAGCTGTTCACAATGGTTTCGAATTTTTATGTAACGAACAGCAGCATGTTGAACTATTACCAGCTACAGGTTATATTCATATTTAGAGATGAATTAAATTATCAGTTCTTCACTTTAGCAAGTCTCAATATGAACTTGTAGGTGGAGCATCAGTTCGTATTCCTCATTTAATGATTAATCGCTTTCCAACTCTCACTATTCTTCGAATATTATGGTTATTGAACACAAATATTTTTAAAACCAAACATACACTTGATGGTAAATGGGTGGTGATAAGTGAAGTATATGGTGTAGCCATCAAACATGTTCCTCTAAAATCTCGAAAATCAAGCGAAGTTTTTGAAGAGGTAGGCAAAATGCCTGTCTATCAGTTACAAAAATTTGTATTCAAATCTATGTATTATTTAGTGAGAAAAGATTTCAGGCTACAAAAATTTTTATTTGTAGATGACAGCTGTTGAAGAAAATAGTAAATTCTATGGATTTTTTCTCAGTTATCGGATTAAAGAAACATTTGATCAGGTATATTACTTATATGGTAGAATACTGAATATGAATTCAGTATTATTACAAGTATGATTAAAAATGTTACTGAAAGCAGTCATGAAAAATGTATTGCAATTATGAATAGGCCTTCTTACTTTAAAAAATTCTCACAAAATAAGGAATCTATTCATAAACTAATAAATGATCAAACTACAGAGAGGTTGGTTGCTACATACAAAGCAAAAAACATGACAGTGCTAAGATTATGATCGAATAGATTGATTATGAAAAACAGAAGATAAAAGCTGTTTTTCTACGAAAATTTAAGTCAGAGTTAATAAGTACTGATTTCTGTACAGTGAAAATTTCTCTACTAGAAGACATTTTGCAGTATTATTGTTGAATTCAGTTTCTAAAAATGTTCTTCTCTGTTCATTGTCAGTACTTGTAATAGCTCTCAATTGAGCGAAAAATTGTGATTCTGATGATTTGTGGTTTTGAAAATGAATGATTTCAGATTCAACTCGGTGTATGGGATGATGGCGAAGGTTGGAAATTGGCTAATGAAACAGATTGCTTGGTACAAAGAGTTGGTCCAAATAACGTCCTTTTCACTTGCTCTCAAATATTTTTTACAAAAAACTTTAATGAGAACATCAAATACTTTGCAGCTATGCAAAACGTGTTTTATCAAGAATTGTTAGTTTCATTAATATTACAAACCAAAGCCTTCTCATCAGTAAATTAATTTTAAACAATGCCTATGTTCAATAAACTTGAGAATACAAATTGCATGCATGCCATAAACATGAAGATAAGACGTGGAATAATATATATTTATAACTTCATAAAAGTTTTTACAAAAATAAAATTGAATCTGCTGTACACATAAATTTTACCTTTCTTCAGATTAGGCTATAATAAAAGACGTTATTAGGAACTGCTTCAAAATGTGCAAAAAATTTTTGTTCAAAAATTCATCGAACTTTCTTATTTTTTAGGATTGCATCCAGAAAAAGTTCAATAAAATTGATGTGGTATTCTTGTGCATCGTTTGGTTTTCTTGCATCAATTGTGTTTTCAACAGTAATTATGAACATTTTGTTCTGGTTCTGTTCTATATTAGTTTGCATTCATTTTTTCTGGCTGTTTTTCAAGTGTAAGTTTTATGAAGAAAAAACCGAAACTTGGGATTTTTAAATCTTTAATTTTGTTTGCATTTTAATTTCAGCGTTCCCAAATGTTGCTTTAACAGACATCAGCAAGTGAATATCAATATATGTGCCGGTATGTTTGTATTATGTGTTTTGTATTCCTTGATCCACAATGGCATTCATGATTTGGTAACATGTCGAGCAGTCAGTCTTGCTCTACTTTACTTCTTCCTTGCAGTTTATTTCTGGATTATGCAAACTTTTAGGTATGTAAGTAGCCAGTAAATGAAAATTACAGAAAAAAATTTATGATAGATTCAAGTTGAATTTTTTCAGTTAAACATACATAAGTACAAATTAAAAATGTATATAAATACAAATGTAGATAAATAAATGAACAAATTCGTATATATATATATATATATCATCAATATTATTTTTCCGCATTAATGACTATTCTTGGACTCTCGCTCCAGCCACCCCGATGTCAGTTCTACTGCTCATCTTCGTTGCTTCGTCTTCACTTAATCCACGGAGATGATCAAATGAGATGCCTTCGAGCATCTTCTTGAAAACAATCGAATTTATATTTATCTCGATGTGATTGGATGGTACTGATTTCCTTTATGTAACGTTTATGGAAGTTCGTTACGATTCCATACCAAGTCATCTCATGAAATTATTTGACATGCGGAAGTATTTTCGTTCTGGATTTCATCTTTGACTCTAGTTCATTAGCCAGTTGATCATACTTTCGCTTTTTATCAGCCTCGACTGCTGTCAACGTTTCTAACTAGTGATGTGAACCTATCAGAATTACTTCATGTCGTTTCTTATCGTCGATCAAAATATCCGATCGATCTGCACTTATGTTTATAGCTGTTTCTACACGCGTATTGACTCTAATCTCCACATCTAGATAAGCCTTAGACTCTTGTAGTGTACTTTCCTCGAAATATGTACCATATGTCTTAACAGACTTCGTTGATTTTTCCAAGAACCGTTCCTGCGAATATGGACGACCTGCAATACCAGTGACCGCAAAATTAGCTTGCTTCTTCAGTTCTTAGAGGCTAATGCTCACACGAACTTCTTTCAATAAAGTTAACGACATTAGGGCCATCCTCCTCTTGTCATTCTCCTGAAACGGTCAAGAACCGCATTCAGCATTTTGCGTCGTCACTGCTCTGCGAAATCTAGATTCCTAGAATGAGTACTTGGAGCATAATCATTCTGCTCGTACCTCTTCCTGCTACGCTTGCAGAGTTCTCTCTCACACCCTTCACGAGGCTTCCTACAACCTTCATTTATTTTCTGACTGTTTTTAATTAATTTCGCTCTTTTTTGGTAGTACTAATGTAAAATAAACTTTTAGATTACTACGAGAAAAACTCACTGAGCTTGTACGAACTGAATATCGGAATAATGTTGGCAAGAAAATTCAAACAGAAGCAGAAAAAGTAAACAATTATATTTGAGAAGAAAATCTAGCTTAGTTTATGCAGAAGCAATTTTAGCCAAGAAGAACGAATTGTTTTAGGTCACATTATGTGGAGCTATAATGCAAATGTATTTCATGTCATATGGCATACCTTTACTTTCCATATCAGCTATACTAGTCACTGGTGATACCATATTATATGGCCAGTCAGTGAAATTGTAAGTCTAACTCAAAATAAAAATCTTTATTTCCTACATCCGTTCTCTTCATTAATCAAACTATTAAATTACCATTTGTGCAAATATCTAATCCAGTTAATCACTGAGATCATGTAAACTTTACTACTTAAAACTCAGGTTTAAAATATATATCACTGCGAAATATAAATCTGAAGTTTTTAGCTGCTTCCCCTATCCAACATTATATTCGAAAATATTTACTTATGCCATATATGTGCCTTTATTGATTTGGATCATCCTTGTCGTAGGAAATGTCATCGTGATCTTGCGTCTGTTTAGCAAAGCAAAACGTTTGTCTGTTCATCAGTTTTCTCAACGTTAGTTTTGGAAGATACAACTTTCAAATATAAAATTAACTTAGAATAAACCTAAAACTTCTATCATTTTTTCCTGATGGTAATTACAGTTTACAACTTATTTCTCATATTTCGCTACTATTCTATTTATCCAATACTTCAATAGTTATCTTTGATTAAAGTCATAATATAATTTTCTAAGCGCTAGCAAAATTGTTTTATTTTCTTAAGTCAATTTTTATGTGATTATGACAAATGCAATTAGTGAATGAATTCGTCTATTTAGATATGCTTGACATTATTTATGGATAAGTTTTTTATAATTATGCTTGCAAACTGCTTGCACCAGTGTTTGCCTAATCTTTTTAATCTGTCTTTGATTATTTAATGATAATTTGACAAAACTACATAGTTTTTATTTGTGCAATTACATTATGTAAAAAAAACCTAGTGCTTGCTTCAGTATTTATCATGTTTCGTTAATTTTTTATTAACTTTCACGTTCGTAATTTTCATTTGAAGAACAGTATAATAAGTAATAAGAGTTAATAAGAACAGTATAATACTATTACTGTTTACTAACAGTAATTGAACTGAAATAAGAACAGTGTTATACAATTCCTGTTCCTACTTAATAATTAGAAGTTATTTTAGACTATGCAGATAGCACAGTTCTGACAGAAAACGGCTCGTGCATTGGAAACGCAGTAAGACCTTCAGCGCTGAATACAGATGAAAACCCTACAGCTGGAAAGCTTCTGTAAAACAATTTATTCTTCACTTTAATACTTTGCCATATTTTGAAGGCTAGACTAATAATAATTTTTACAAAACTATTGAAATTTTGAATCATATACCAGTAGCATCTGGCTTTTTGAGATGATTAAATTTGCAAATGATAATCTATAAATTTTCATTTACGTTAAAATTTATATTTTTCAGGCTAATATTACTGTTAGCAGTATTATATTCTTTGAACTGCTATGAAGCATCCCTTTCCATCGATCAGTCAAAAAGTTTGGAAGATTCGTTTACAACACCCAAATCTTACTTCATAGCATTTTTAAATATATTGCTTGCTTCCATCATTTTTCGTGTTTATACTCTCGAAACATTTCGGCAAGTTATACGTAAGATAAGACAACAGGTCAGATGCAATCTTTCTATAAGTATTTATGATAATTATACGTGCTGCATTTCAGAAATTTTTTACATTTGCATTATTTTTGAATTTCTTGATGCAAATGGAGAACTCATGAATAACATAATGTTTCTTGATTGTGTGATAAAAGACTCCAGTATCTTAATTATAACAATACATGAATGTGAGCAATTTAAAGTTTCTAAGCTATTTCTGATTTCAGGTCAGTCGGAATGCGGTAGGCAGTCGTTTTTCTGTACCAAGTGACGGAATTGTTAATATTTCTAAAAAATGTAGCAATACCATGACTTCGTTACTGGATAATGAGTTGTTCTGCAGGCAATTGTAAATTTTGCAGAATAAAAAATGGACTATATTAGAATTAATTAGCCTATTTTCAAAGTATTGATGAACATAGTCTTATATTTTTATATTAATAGATGAGTAAATGAATACAAACTGTATTATACCTCATAAATATATGGATTTTCATTATAAACAAATATAAGAAAACTATCTAAAATGCAATCGAAATTTTAATATTTTGAATAATCGGTGGCTGTTCGCACATAATTACATGTTTGATTATGCAGTAAGAGGATATAATTAAGTAACTATATATATATATATATATATCTGTACTTTCAATTATTTTCGATGAAGACTTCCATTAGCTACAGCTACCTAATGCTCTACCATTATATCAATTGTCCATTTGTATGAAATTGCATGAACCTCTTATCTGAGATTGGTTTTTTAACTACTTTGATTGATTTTATTCTCTTTTCTTGTTGTTCACATATTGCTTGAAAAAAATTCTGCATAAAAATGCATTGCTTTTATCGATATCAAAATGAACAACATTGAGAAAAATTTAATAATGTCCAGTTTTTAAGATTACCGAGAAAACTTTACTTTTTCTCTGTTTACGATTACTCATAGACTCTGCTCTCTTCCAAAGAATTTTGAACTGATGAAAAGTTTAGTAACAAAACGCAATCATTATTTGCTCTATTTTCCGCCTCGTTCTACAGTTTTAAAAATTTTTGTAAGTACAGCTGGCTGAACGAAAGAATATTGTAAAAAAACTGATAAACAAGAAATATAACCTCTAAAGCAGTACAAGAAATTTCATGTATCTATTCAAAATAGCCAATTTTTATATGCGTGTTCAATTCTCATTTTATACTATTCTCAAATTCACTCTCATATGTATAACTACATTTATTTTTGTAATTATTTTTCATATTATGCTATTTTAATCAATGGTCAAGTAAATACATAGTTTTCATGCATTGAAATTACTATTTTATTTGTCTTAGAAGTAAAGTTGAGAATTAGATTGCTAACAAGGAATGCTATGCTATCTCTCTCTCCATATATATATATATATATATATATATATATATATATA